GAAAAATCCAAATATATTGAATACATAATTACAATAGTTTTTTTTTTTTAATTTTCACTGGTTTGTAAGTCGTTTTCAGGCAGGATGCAGAAGATAAAAAGTGTGCATTCCATGGGTTATGTGATAAAGTTTACCTCGTGTGTAATTGTTATTCTGTTTTTGAGTCGGTCAACCTGCAGTTCAATTTAATTTTTTTTTTTTTTTTATATTTTGATTATGCCTTTCTTTTTGAGGGTAGGAATAGATATATATGGGCTGTCATGCTTGATAAGAAACTATAGCGCAGTCATTGTTGGTGATGGCAATCCCCCCTCTAAAATGAATGGTTGGTAACGAAAGTGGCTAAGAAATCGAGATTTTGGGCTTCACGCACCGATAGCACAATTATATCGGCACCCCGGGACTAAAGCGGTGGGGGACAACAAGGGCAGCAGACGCAGCAGATTATTCTGGAAGTGCAGAGCAGTTATTTAAGCATAAACACCAACATTGATGGTCGCAGCGGAAGTGTGGATGTGGAGCAGGCAAATGAAATAAAGTAGATAAGGAGGAGGAAAAAGAGATAAGAGGATAAGGGAGGGGAGGAGATAGGGAGGGGATAGGGCGAGATGGGAGGAAGAGGGAAGGGATAAGGAGGAAAAAGTTAGATAGGATGCTAATGTTAGCTGTCTTGAAATCAAAAAAATTACAGCTGTAGATGTAATTGTGGTTCGGCAGAGAGATAGGTTGCCTCTAGGAGTAGAAGGAAGACGTTTTTCAGGTATGATTTTCACCCAAACCATTAGGAAAAAGTGCATAGACTGAGGGGCTGGAATAGGAAAGAAGGTCAGAAAGGGGGAGGGATAGGCTTCATCTTGATGCTAAGCTAAATTAGAGCCTTTTAAAGGATGTGAAAACTCAGTAAGATATAAGAAGCAGAAACAGTTTTTGGGTGGGCGGGCACTGGGGGAGAGAAATGGGCTTTTGGGGCATTGTAGTAGGTGCGGGCAGGAAGGCTGATGGAAATGGAATGATGCTATCTATGGAACGCTAGCACAGCAATTTGAGAAATTCAGTCATTAAACTATCATTGTATATTATAAGGTTCTTTAATGGAAATTGGGTTAGGCGAACTCGAAGTTAAAATGGTAATGGGTAGTGAGGTTTATGATTTTTCGTCGTGAGAAGCAACAGACTAAAAATCTTAACGAGGATAAAGATGTATGGGAAATATACAGGCCTCCGGTCAGTCGTGATTATGCGCTAACAAATAGAAAGGCAGTATAAAACGAATTGATGAAATTAGGATATTGACGCATGGGGAAAATCGACATTAACTTGACTCATTTCCCCATGATAATCTACTTAATTCTAAGATGGAGTAGATAGAGGAAGTGGAAAGTCATAGTAAAAGTAGATTATGGAAAGCTCAGGAGGCGAAACTGCATGGGAAGAGTTTTCAAATGGACAATGTGATAATAAATTTAGGGAAATTGAGGAGGTACGTTGAGCTTTCTCAGAGTAGAAGGAATTGAAGAAAGATCTTAGCGTTTAAATGGGGGTGGGAGGGAAAGTGTGGACAACATCCAGGCAAGGCAAGACTGCAGAAGGATAGGACTAGTGGTTTTGATGGGGAGTGACAAGAGAGCCAGACATGGATAGACAAGCAGCCTGTAGAATTTTGCAGGAAGTGGGGAAGGATTTCTGGAGGGGAAGCCTTCTGGGCAAAGACAAGTTTGGAGGAAGGTAAAATTAGTGTGACGCATAGGAAAAAAAGAATAGCAATAAAAGTTTTGTTAAATGAAACGAGCGGACTTTGAAAAGAACAGATTATAAACATAAAATCAGGCGGTAGGGATAGTACTAAAGCGTTTTTGGAGCTAATTAGAAAGGAAAGAATCATATACGCAGACGCATAGGTGAAAATAAGAACGAGATGGTGCGTCTGGAAAAAGGAGATATATGACAAATGAACTCACAGGTTTCTGGGAAAAAATCAACTCAGGCTCAATCAAACTCATCTCAGTTTGACCCAGGAGTCCAAAGCACGTACATATAGCCCTCATAGATAGTTAAAATAGCTTTGTTAAGTATAATAAGGTAGAGGAAGGTGCAGCTTAGAAGTTAAGCTAATAAGCAGTGCGCAGGACCTGGCGCTTTTGACGAGGTAAACAAACGAATTTCTAAGTTTGGGGGAAATTCTAGTCAAACAGTGAACGGTCCTCCTTTAATAAGAATTTCTACAGTCTTGAAGTTCGAGATTCATGGAAGACATCACAAGTATTATTTAGTTTATAAGGGTAAAGAACTGGATAACGGCTTCTGCAAAAAAATACAGACGAAATGCCTAACAGCAAGTGAGTAATTCTTTTATGGGATTTATTGGAGATGACTGGAAAATTGTTAGAAGACTCAACATTTTTGGGGAGTTACAGAAGGTTTCAGGAGGGATGGCGCACGGGGGGATAATATATTTATTAATACCCCCATGCATTCAGAGGCGAACATGTAAGAAACCATTATACTTGCATTCTTGACTTCAAAAAAGCTATGACTGTGGATAGGAATAAATTACTCAGGAACTAAGAAGAATAGGTTTGGGTAATGGTTGGCTAGTGGAGTCTATGTAGCAAAAAATGAATTAAAGATAAGTTGGGACTGTTTGCATCGATTGATATGGCATCTAAATTAGGATTCTGGAAGCTAGAGGTTGGCCTTTTTCCTCACCAATCCATGTTCGCATTGTTATCAGGAATTGTCTACTAGGTGCGTACAAATGGCAAATGGATTATGCATTGGAGGAAATAGCTTTCGGGGATGTTATAACCGGATGATTGGTTTGTAGCAGAGAATAGGAGTAATGGAAAGTATGTTTGAGCATTGCGCAGACTTTGCGAAAATTTTGGAATGGTTTTTTAGTAAAAGAAATGCCAAATCATGGAATTCTCAATAGCCGATTAGAGGAGGGCAAGCAGGGTGTCTGGAAACTGGGGAATGATTTGCAGCGAGAGTATCTGAAATACCTTACCGTGAGGTTTGAAATGGTTAGAGACAAATCGAAACTGGGGCTTAACAACAGCATGAGGATGAATATTACGGAAAAAAGCAGAAAATACAGGGAGGCACTCGCTTGCAAAGGCATTCTAGTAGTGTTCAATAGATATTGGGTGGGTAGGGAACTTTGGAAAGCAGTTGCATGGCAGTGCTGCACTGACGTATAATCAAATGAAGCCCTAGTATTTACAATTAAAACAGGAGAACGTGCCATGCTCCCAGGCCTAGACAGGACTCAAAACAGCTGGGAAGGAAGGAGTTATAGGGCACCCTCTTATGTGGGAGTGGAGAGTATTAGAGGGAGATGGAATATATGGTCAACTTTGAAGAGAGAGAGCAAAAGTAAATAAATATTGGGCAGGATAAAATATATGAATAATTGACGTAAACGTAACAGATAGCGGAAGCAATGGAATTGGGCGAATCAGATCAGACTGGAGGAGGAGAACTAGATTCCTCATAAACAAAGTTTGACTTCAGATAGGAGTCCAGATGAGATTAACGGGGGGGGGGGGTATTAAAGAATGGAATGTTGAGTGGAAAGAGAATAAAACAGGTGGTAGGCTACCGCCTGAAAAGGGATTAGAAAACAAGAAGTTCGTAGGATTGTATGAGAAGAAAAAAAGACGCATGGTAAGATCGTTTTATAATATAGTCTTGGGAGTAGCTGCTGCTTTGCCAGGGTTCTCCAGCTTTTCATTATAGCATGGGGGTGTGCGTTTACGGTCCTAGTTCAAAATCGCGAAGGGAGTTTGCGTCTAGGTGGGTCTGGGGGCATATATTTAGCATATGGCGGCTATGATAGTTTAGAGTGCGGGGTGCATTTTAGGATGGCTGGGGCTCGACATAGCCTGGCGGGCCACAGGCTATAAGTGCTCTTGAGAACGCCTGCGTTCAATGCGGGCGAGGTGCTTGTCGTTTGACTAAAGCGAACTAGACACTGGGAGGCGAAGATAAATGTTAAATTTGTGAGAGGAGAGTTGGAGACTCCTGAGCACTTTTTACTAGAATGTCCTGGATATGAAAACGCATAGAAAAGTTTTTTTAATATGAATTAAACGTAGAACAAGGGTTGGAGGCAATGAAAAGAACAGAAACCTCAATGACATGCAGGAGGAGCTCTTGCAAAATTCTTTTGGGTTTAGGGTTGGCAGGCAGCCTTATTGGTAACTTACTATAGTTAACGCTTATAAACCAGTACTGGAGTACTTTGGGGAGCTAGATCAGCGGGCACTCACAAACTATAAGGGACACGGAATGAATTTCTTATTTTAAAAAAAAAATTCTTTGGCACAGAAATACCGATTAATGGTTTCCAGTCATGACATACATACATACATACATACATACATACAGCTGTGTAGACTAGCCCACAGGTGAACATTACAAGAATGTTGTCGGCGCGCTATATCAGCTGAGTTGGAATGGAATATTTCGCTGGAATTTCTTCTGGTGAGTTTGGCGCAAGCATCCGCAGGGAAGTGCTATGGCAATATGCGCACACGTTTGTGCTTCTTCTGCAGATGGTGGCGTACAGCATTTCTAGATTAGTGTGTACCAGCACGAAGTTCGCATCGCCAGGCAAGTCTGTCTGGGAAGCGCAATCATATCTCCGGGTATGTAGGCACTATGGCTGAGAGGGTCTATGTCCCCCCAGGGTAAACTGCCGGAACGTACCTGGTACTATTGATATGCCGGATCGTAATCGCCTACTCCACTAACGAGTCTATGGAGTCGCGTACTCCTAACCCTAATCTTAAGCTTACCAATAAGCAACCCCTACTATATCAGATAGTTACCAGGGTACGTTCCGGTATACCGGACTGTACCCAGGGTACGTTCTGGCAGTACCCTGGGGGACATAGACCCTATGAGCGTAACTATGTATATATACGATGTAATAAACGTTATATGGCTTCGTAGTAACCTGCGAGAGCACCTAACGAATATAGCGTCATCTCTTGCAGGGATTCTCATGCATATGCCCGGACACGAACACGTTGCCAAGTATCCCGGAAAGCGTGCGTATGCATGTAGATCAGCTAATCGTCTTGATACTATACAATAAAAACCCGCGTATAAGCACCTAGTGATTAAGAACCTGTTAGGCTAAGATTTTTCATTTAAGATTTCCATTAAGATTTTCCATTAGGATTCACATAAGAACCTGTTTTAACCTAAAATGTTAAATAGGTTCTTATTTGATAAAATTCAGTTAACACTCAAAAATTCATAAATCAACTAAAACGAGCTCTATCAGGCATAGATTGTTTTAAAACGTTCTAGTTAAAAAAAAAAATGTTTATTAGGTATAAAGGGCATAAAAAGAAATAAGATAACCTAGAATAGGGTTTGTATTTGTCTAGATTGCAGTCATTTAGACATAATTATATGCATATTTTATATAAACAATGTACCGCACCAATATTCTACCAGCCATAAGCACTTTTTTTCTTAAGAAAATAAAAATTAACTTAAGAACCTAAATAGCCTAATTTCCCAGTAAACACAGGAAAAATGGAGGTTCTTATATGCAGGTTCTTATTGTATTTGCTTTGAGCACTGATATGAGAAATTATTATAAATGAATAAAATTTATATATATATATATATACAATATATATATATATATATACTGTACTGCAGGTGTGCATTGAATACATCATTTATATAAGCATCTTTCATTAGGCAGGCAATTTCTTTTCACAATTTAACTAAGCAATTTTATTTTGGATTTGCAACTTGATTTATATTTGCAGAGAAACTTGATGGAGTATTTCAATGCTGTCGATCCCGTGAATATGATATGCATTTTTGCAAGGTTTGTGTCTCAAAGTCAATGATTAAATATCTTATGCCATTCTTCGTGCATCATTAACCTGTGAAATCATTGTAAATATGTGCACAGTTGTGAGTGTAAAAATACTGATCTACTCAAGAGAGTTTGTGGAAGCGTTTACTCTTTAAATTTATAAGGAGTATATATACAATGTATCCATTAAAAAGTGATAAAATTTGCTGCAAGTATGTTTTACGTAAGTATAACCTGACTTGGTACCACTCTATTGTTTCAGTATGCTGAATGAGAGAAGGGTTGTGTTTACATCGAAAAAACTTGGCAGGCTGACGTCATGTGTTTTCGGTGCTGCTTCACTTCTTTACCCGATGCACTGGTAGGCATTAGAGTTTATGCGGGAGTGCACAGAAAAGTTTAGCGTCAAAAGTTAGTGGGCAAGAGTCATATACAGTGGCATCACAAGGGGGCGGGGGGTGCGGAACGCACCGGGTGACACCATCAGAGGGGGTGATTTTAATATTGCTAGTTGTTTATGGCATTACTATTGCCATTACATTCAGTGATGTACGGGAATTACGATTTACGAGTAACATTAGTACTAGTAAAACTATAACTATTAGTACTAATAGCTATAATAATCAAGCTTTGTAAAGAAATCTCATCTTTTAATTGTGATCTATCATGCAGTGTAAGTTTTCGTGACTATGCTAGGTTTTCATTTAGCAGTTTGCTGTAACAACATTGCGCATCTGTATGTGTATCTGAGCTAGATTTCAGTCACTTTCATGATAAAATCCTGTATTAATATTTTGCAGGCAACACATATTCATTCCAGTTCTTCCAATGCATCTAAAAGATTACCTTACGTAAGTCTATGTTGCTGAAACTGCCATGTTTTAAAAATGTTCAGTGCTTTTTATACTGAAACGCATATTTTTGGAGAAAGGCATTGATCAAAACATTCTGTACGATGAGTAGATGTTATACAAACTGTGGCCATTATATCGTTTAATTGTTATAATATATAATTATAACAATTAATTAATTAATGATATTTAATCGTTATAATATATCAGATAACATTGCTGCATTGTTTTCAGGGCGCCTATGCCATTTATTATTGGAGTGCCGACATTAGTGATGGAGGTAACGTATAGATTTTGACACACTTCTTCAGGGTGCGAAATTAACGCGAGTCCGGAGGCAAATACTCCCTGATTTACTGTCGGACTCCCTGATTTGACATATGCAGGAGTCCGTGTGACTCTCTGAAGATTTTGCTATACTAACTAGTTCGTTCCAGAGCACGGCCTCGCAGAATTACCGTATTTTTTCAGCATATCTTTAATTTTGAACTTCAGACTACCGACTCCCTCATTTTGCTACGGACTCCCTCTTTTTGAGGGCAGGAAGTCTGTTGGACTCCCTTGTTCAAAAGTTCATTTCTACCCCTGCTTGTTTATTGGCACATCAGCAATTTCACATCTTGGTACACTTAATGTAATATGTAGTGTATACTTTGTATTTTTTCTATTCGTATCCCCATTTTCATTTCTTCTTGTCAAGAAAACAATCCGTAAAAAATAGAATTAATGGAAAGCGAAATTTTTGACCTAATGTAAATATGTGTAAGTGTATAAACCCTTTGGCACTCTAGTAATTTTCATACCACCCATTCTGTTATGCTATTGTCTAGATAGTTTATCTATTAGGGTTATTAGAGGTATTTAGAGTTTTAGTGTTTGGAGTGAACAGAGGTTTAGACAGTTATGAATGTATTTTAAAACATGTATGCCGAGTTGGTTGTGATCGGAGAGTGATACATCACTCACTGTGTGAGCTTTCTATCTTCAGAAAGCTTTAAAGACAGAACTAGGTGACGCCTTTGTCTTAGATCTGGACACCAATCAACTGGAGAGTCATTTCGATGATGTCGAAAACATGCCAGGAGAAGTGGTACGGGTTTTCTTATATGAAATTAAATTAATTATACTAATTAATTAAATCTTATTATACTAATTGCAAAATTCTTAATTGCAAATCGAATCGAAATGAAACCTATAGATATCAGAACCATTAATCGCAAAGTGTAATCGATTGCAATTTGATTTAAAATCCAAGCAACTAGAAATATATATATTGTTTTTAGAACTACTGATCGCAAAATAATCAATTGCAATTCGAATTGAAACTAGACTGCTAGAAATAAGTTGCTTCTAGATTTGCCAATCGCAATTTCAATTCAAATCACGTGGATTTAGTAAGAACTAGTAGAAACTAGCAACAATCTAATGCTAGACGGTCACATGTAGTTCTCTACTAGCTGGTCTGTAAGTGTAAGGGGTCATACTTAAAGTATGCGTAAATATTCCGCTTGGTGTGATGGTAACTTGCATTGCAGGCATGCCGGCTTTTTGAGACGACCTCGCGCGCAGCAATTCCTCAGATAATTAAGCAGGTGTCGCATTTCAGGTGTCATCATTGAAAAGGCGGCTGAAGGATCCAAACAACAGTTTTGGAGACGGCTTGGCGCGGTCGTTCCTGCACGCGATGGTCCTCCTCATAGGCGGTCAGTTGTGTACAGACTAACTTTTTCGCTAGACCGTAGTCATTGTGCGTAGCCTATACCATGTTGCGCGTGACGTCCATACTCCGTTTCCTGTTGATGGATTATGATATGGTCATAACAGACATACCCCATGAAACCCAATGCATGCCAACGAATGCCAGTGATTAAACGTTACTTGGCACTCACATTCCTGGAACATCATTCCTTGGCCGTCCATACAGAATGTTATTTCTTCTCATCATTTCTTCTAAGCGTGTCATACTGTAGTATTTCTTGAACTGTCAGTTCTTATTACATGCAGTATTCTAAGCAGTCCAGCTAGGCTGCGTTCTGCTCGTTTACATTATGTTGTAGTCATGTGACTCACGGGTTTCCTTGTCGCGTTATAAAAGCGTCTGTTGTGCGTGGCACGGGCCTTTTGCTTGAGCCGTATTTATATATTCGCGTGCGCTCGCGCATTTTTCCACGATGCACCATACATTGTAAGTGCTGTTTCTTGGTTCTCGCCTAATTTCTTATAATTTGGATCTTTATTATATAATTTTGGATATAATGAACATTACATGACATGAGCGACTTAATATTTAGTGTGCATTATTTTGTATTTACAGTTTTACATGCACGTGTGCAGCTACATCACGTGTTGAGTAATAAATTTGGAGGGTATGAAAAAGATGCCGAGTTGAGAAATATTCGTGATCGCGCTCGGAATGTAACACAGAATAATTAATGAATCTGTGTTATCACATCCTTTAACTGCTTATGCATTACTGTCAGTTTTCCATGTACTACATCTGCAGGGGGCGAAATTAACGGGAGTCCGGAGTCAAATACTCCCTGATTTACTGTCGGACTCACTGATTTGACATATGCAGGAGTTCGTGTGACTCCCTGAAAATTCTGCCATACTAACTAGTTCGTTCCAGAGCACGGCCTCGCAATTATTTGTATTTCGTATTTTTTTTCAGCAAATGTCCAAAGAAAATTTGGCAGACGTGCAACCGCATAAATCTTCAAAATAAGCACATGCATGCGTTATTGTTAATATCTTTAATTTTGAACTTTAGACTGCAGACTTCCTCATTTTGCTGTGGACTCCCTCTTTTTGAGGGCAGGGAGTCCCTTGTTCAAAAGTTAATTTCTATCCCTGCACCTGTGTTGTAATAAAACCTGTGTTTGTGAATACCTCTACAAAACAGACAACTGTCTATAAAGGACACTTTTTGCATTGAGCGTCCCTTGCGTCACAGTTGCACGTTAAATCCAACTGTATAGAATTGTCGCCTGTCCATTCTGCACACATTTGAACTGCCCCCGGTGTGTTCGTCCTATAAGGCTCTGGCCGTACATGTCGCTGCGAGGTTACAGAGATTGCACATAACCGCTCGCCGCACGGTTCCGGTCCTGGCCGAAGTGACCTCAGCTTTGATGAGGACTTGTTTTCTACACGTCACGGCCAGGCCACATCTGCAGCGCCTTAGCCGTTGAAGAACATGCTGAGCCAGCTGCATAATCTTTCACACAGCGAAACAGAAATATCTCCGCTCTTCAATAATTAAATATTAATTTAAGCAAAGTATAAGTAAAAAATTTTGTTGAGTAGAATTGGGCGGGAGGGTGGGGAGGTAGCCAGAATAGTAGTAGTACAACTATTTTTTTTATTGTAAAAATGGTGTTAGTGGAAAGTGATTAGACAGTTGTGGCTCCTGTTGTTATATATTTATGTGAAATTTTGTATATACATAATATCTTATCTAGTGTCTCATTTGCCATTCCTCTATCTACCTTCTTTCAAGCCTGTCCTTACACACTGGTTCTAGCCTTCTTCCACTTGTCCTCCGACGCATACTTACATGAATTCAATATCATATTAATACATATTCAAGAGCAGATTAAGAAGGTGATTCCGTTACTGCTCACACTGTCTTAACCGCTCTTGATCATATATAGATATAATTGTGATTACTGATCGCACAGGTTTGCCCTTAGCATGTTCAGAGAGTGAGAGGGAGATTGCTCAATTCTGGTGAAGGATTTCTCAGAATGAGTTTGAATATGTAAACAACCTTATGGAGACAAGGTGTTGTAATAGCAATACTAAACCGAACGCAGTACAACGAGATTCGGATGGAATATGAAAAGTATGTTGATGGTATTTGTCATAAAAGCACTAACAAGAGAATCGCATTCACCTACCATGTGCCATTCTGATAATCAGTTCGTAGGGCCCAGATGCAAAGTAGTTACCAGTTCGATAGTAGTCTGTATATATATATATATATATACTATATATATATGTACTAATACCATGTAATATAAGGATATATGTATATGATCACTAACATGGAATATACACATGGATATTACTCATGTAATCAAAGTTGCCAGAACTTGACAACAGATTTTTGTGTGAGTAGATCAAGCATCTTGGACCCGCTAACTTTTTTCAAAT